GAAGAGTAAGCAAACTACAGGCAGGATTGCAGTCATCCTATTGTCACCGAAATAACGACGCATTTCGCAAAGGGATCGTTAAATTGGAAACGCTACGTGGTCACCTTCAAGCTGCTACCCGGTAATAGTTGCATTTAGGTTGTGACGAGTTGGTTATAAATCATTAAAATAGACAGGCGTGGCGGTACAGCAAAACTAAAACGCGATATTAGGTGGCATCATTTCGGCAGGCTTGTATTTAGGGAATATCAAGTAAAATAACAAGTTATGATGCTTTATTTATCATTGAAATTTAAAGCAATCGTTTAATGCTATTAGGCTCACTGCCCAAAGGTGAAATGTGCATTGATTAAACGGTTGAGAGATTAAAGATCAACCTATTAAAATAATTAGTTTTAAAATATGCTGTGTCGTCTCCACTTTTAATTAATAGATGGCCCCACGCTTTTAGGATGAAACAAAGGATTCTGTTGCCTCTATAATAAAGTCATTTCCTCTAATTTTTTATTTTATGTTACGATTAGTAACTTTTCAAAAAAAACTGGGACAACGCAGAAATGGACGTGTTAATTGACAAATTTCTTAAAATATTGTACTTTAAATACAAATTGAATTCACCGTATTCTTTCACAACCGTCAAGACTTTCATGGGATGTGCTTCATAATAAATAAGTGCTACCTTGTGTATCATAAATGTCCCTGATTGAAAGTGTTTATTTCATGTATTTTTTAGTTTATTGAGGGCCACAATTCATTCCCTATTCAATCTGCAGAGAAAATGAATAGCCTCCATTGTTATAGAAGACAAGTTTTTTTTCGAAATTAGAAATAAGGAATGAAATCAGTGGATTCTAGAGTGGTTACGAATGGCATCTGTATATGTTAACTGGTTAGCCTCTTTTCAGGCATATTTTTAAAAAGCAGAATTCTTAAACTCGCTCATAAATTCTTAGCAAATTAGATTGCATTGACATATTAGTAGTTTAAAACGTAATGAAAATAAGAAAAAATTCAGGAGGAAACACGCTGTAGGGAAATGTAACGCGAAAGGGCAATAGCAACCAAATCACAATGAGCTGAAGAGTGGCCACCACGTATTTAGCGATTAAACCAAAATGATCCCAACTTAATGATGCGTGGTCTGTTTATCACAAGACAAATTTTGACACAGCACTTTAAACTGACATTTAAAAATGGACCACTTTACCATATAACCTGCTCAGTTTACAAAGCGCTTGGAGTTCATTGTTAAAGTTTGAGTAGCTACATCAAACATTTAAATTACTTTAAAAGTGAAATTAAAGGTCCAACGAGTTAACATCAAATATCCGCTGTCACCGCTCGAAAATTAATTTTAAAAACGTTGCTCCTCCTAATGTCAGGAATTTGACAGATGCTTATTTACTTCCCGTTTGGATGTAAAAAAATTATGTCTGGTTTATAAGGAACACATTTAGTGATAAGTGTGCAAGAGATATAAAGGAGCTACCTTTATGGGCACTAAACGGCCTAATTTCTATGGATTAAAACTTGCCTCATATTCATATTTAAGTATTCCGCTTGCAATTCTGTTTTCGTAGACTGAAGGAAACATTGCCACTGGAATGGGTGCGATGGAGACGGCCTTCAGTTTTCGCCTGTGGCGTTCCCGTGGGTCGCAGATTTTGTCGCGCAGCGTCTCGAAACATGCCCGCAGTAAGTTCATTAGGCTGTAACCATCGTCCGCCGCATTCGTTTCGACTTCTACCACATTGGGTCGTGCGACATGCCCTGTGTCGATGCGCAGGGATGGACCCTCCTGTTCTTTCGGCTACGGTTTCTGCTACTTCGTTGAAAGCAGGATGCGCGTCATGCGCCACTAAAACGTGCACATGCGGTTGGTTTTAAACACGCGCACTCGTGTTTGCTTGCTGAGGGCAAATTCACTCAACGACAAACTTAACAGTATGAGTTCCCTTTCCCAGCTGGTTCGTGAAGCGACCAATCACCTATCACAACCCAAGCCAATCGCTGTGAAGGGTTGAGTTTTATTTTAATCAGTGCTTGTAAACAGGCAAACTAAACTGTTTTGTAACTTTAATTCGTGTTGGGCGTTTTGCCCATGCTATCGGGAAACAGTCTGTCGTCGGCAGAGTGTCTCATGCGGGTTATGTAATTTTCATCTGGAAATGACGTCGCCACTATATTCATTGACAATGTATTGTAAAGTTACATTTGGGTGAATATAAAAAGACGGTGGATGTCTTCATTGTGTTTAACAATTTTCCTAGGAATTTTCAGTTTGTATTTCGAAAAAATTAAGTCATTGTTTAAATATATTATTGGATGGAAAGCAAGTTACGATGAAGTAGTTGTAAGTACAGGCTTACTTAATATAGCGCCCATTAAAAACTGGGTTGCATAATAGCGTTGATTTTAAAATGAAGCAGAAGGCAGAGTGTTGATGCCTCTTTAATTAGTTGGAATTGACGACTTATCATATCTGAATTCGAAGTATAGGAACTTTACAAGAACATTAAAAAGGATAAAAATGATTATTTTAAGCTTAATGAAATATTCAGCTGTTGACCTTTTGTGCCAGACCATTGGTATACATTGTGAATTATTTAAAATAGCTTGTGTTCTTAAATATTCATGACAGATAATAGTCCTTAGTGTTCACTAAGCAAAAAATTTGTCCCTAATATCAATCACAAGCCGACATTCCCTGTGTTATTACTATTATTTTTACCAACTTGACGAAAATATGCCAAACATCACGTCAATAATTATCTGGTAGCCGCATGGAATAATATTATGAAACTAAAATATATAATTTATGATGAAAATTAGAATAGGCATAATTCAAACCTCAAAGTTACTGAAAATTGTCTGAAAGTAAGCCGATCTATTGGCAAAAATAAGTAGTATCAATTTTGAAATAAATGAGAAAAAATAGAAATACGTTAATCTCAAATCACGCGTAGCAAAACCACTTGCCCATTTCTTCACTTCATGAAAAATATGAGAAAGAAAAGCACACATTCTAGTGTTAACTGGCGCAATAAAGTGATGAGCAAACAGGTAACACTACGATCTTATTTTAAAAAAATACTTAGTAATACGGTTTCTTTAAATCAATGCAATTTCTGCCATCTCAATAGCAATAGTAATTCAGAATTTGGTTATTACAATTAAGAAAATATTTAAAAGTTGCTCTTGATTGTGTGATAATTTTATCACAATTGACAGGATGTGGCACGATTACACGAATCCAGTACACATTTAGACCAACTTGGCCTCTTATTATATAAACAAGTAATTTAGGCTTGCAACCTAGAATTGCTCGCATTAACTTTGAAGGCACCTTACGAAACCCGTATTATTAAAAAAATCCATGTGCTGCAACAAGTATCCAGTAATCGAGCGTGGATTTTTAGCTCTAATCAACAATTCGATTTTGTGGCAGTTCATTTCAAATTGCACACCAATTAGTAAAAGGAATTGCCTTTGGTTGTTTTACAACCTTAGCCTTCTTTGCTTTCATACGAATTTAGATGAGCAAGGTGCTAATCTGTTAGTAGACAGCAAAAAATGTGCTTCAAAATTCAAAAAAAATGTGGACAATAACTAAATGGTGTCTTCATCCACGAGCCTAGGTCTAAATCATTGAAAAAATTGCAAAATATTCACTAGAAAACGCAGGAAGATAAGGTTGTTTATGTACTTTAAAATTCAAAATTGACAAATCGCCTAGTTGGAGGGTGCATTTTTGATATTAACCAGACGCATATTGGCACGAGTAAAAAGCCATCGAATGTTAAGTGCCTGTGGTTCAGAAATTTCACGCTCAATAATCTGAGTAACATGACTTGCAGCCAACTATGTCACAAGAATTCGTCCAGACTGAATTTTCATGAAAAGCAAAAAGTACTTTGGAGATTAAGAAAAAAATATTTTCTCTCCAAGACTCTCCTTTGCATAAAACATTGTCCAGTGTTAATAGACAGAGGCATTATTCAGACTGGCATGCGTGCCTGCAGGGATCGAATTCCTGCCGAATCGTTAAGTAATTCGAGAAACATTATTTCGTTGTTTATTGACAAATTGCTTTTTCCCCGTAAACACCCACTTCCTTTGAAGTGTCCCACCCGCACTGCTAACGCAGATAACTCCTCGCACTTGCCAGGAAGCAGATCTTAGAATTGATCATCTAAGCTAATTAACCTTAGCGAGTTTGTAGACCTCTTCGCATTTACCCAGTACACTGTTCAGTTGTCATCGGCAAGTGTAAAATATAAGTATAGCTCAATTAAGACCTAAATTTTCCTTTTGAAGTTTAGCTCACGTTGAATTGATATAATTTATGTAAAAATTGGCAGTCTCACATTCCCACCGAACCTTTTAAGTGCAATGTGGTCAGTAAATCCTTTATTATCGCAATATTCGTGTAATTTGTCAAATTTAACTGTCTGACTTAACAGGGTTCCAAGACTAACTGCTGAGCACCACAACTTTGCTTTCTTTGCGTTTTTATTAGGCTGGGTGATTAAAATGAAAGCCAATTATGATGATCGCTTTATCCTAGAGCTCATCGAATGCCCATTTTTTTAAAGTGCGGCATCTAAATACTTAATGCTTATGAATTACTCAACGTCAAAAGACTGGCATACTTAAACAAGTTGTTTTCTCTGGAACCAATAGTGAGTTTTGCCTATTTAAAACATGCATTAATACCGCTTTATTATCTGGTTTTATTTGCAACATATTATATCATAACGGTAATTACAAACGATAAAATGCGAATGTCGATGTCGACTATTATCAGTTGAGCACATCGGCTAGGATGTGTCACGCCTGTCTATTGGCTGCCTTAATAGCCAATGAGGTTTTTATCCACTGATTGGCTCCCTGCTTGAATATTCCTGTAAAGTTGGTTTGTTGACACTCACCTGAACACTTGAGCACAAACGAATCCGTACACGGAATGGATGAAATGTGATTGTTCAAAGCAGAACGAAATGCCCGGTAACAGTAACACCCTCGGATTGCGGGAGATGTTTCGTTTTCGGTCGATGCAGCGTCATCGAAGAAGGCGAGAAGAGAGAACTGAAGTGCCAACGGAGGCTGATGAAGCAGATTCGAAGAAAACCCCTCTTTCTCCATTGCCAGTTTTTCGTGTTCAGTGTGATCCATCTTTTGATGCAGAAGATTTTGAATTAGACCTTTACCGTGTGCGCAGTTTCAAAAGAACATCAAAAGGATTGATCAGCTTAGTGAGTTCATTTGAACAAGGCACATCTTTTCGAAAACCAAAATTACTAAACAAGAATGAAAATCATAGTAAAGAACAAGAATCAATCGATTTGTGCCTGTACATGACCAGCTATTTATCAGGGCATACTGAAGCCTCATGATCATCATTTATGGGATGGCAACTGAAACGCCTAAATAATTAGTGCCAAACATGGAAATAATGACCTCAATTTAGGCAAATTTTGTTTTTAGTTGAATATTATAAAAAATGAGCAAGGCGTGATGACACGTGATTTTTTGCTCTCATTATAATCATTTTGTCTGGGAGATAAATTTGTTTGAAGCCTCGGAGATAAAGGAATCGACGGAAATTTACCCCTCTTAAAAACTTCAGGATGCAAAAAAAATTTAAGATCCTTAGCGTGGAAAATGCATGCGTTAAAACAGGCGTAGACTTTGGATCGTTGGACACAGAACCAACTCCACCTTTCCGGAAAATTCTCCTAAATACAGATATACGTTGGACCTCTGCTGTAGGCAGTAAAGAAAGTAATGACATTCACAGTGGCATGTAATGACATTGAATCTTTTGCTATATTTTTACAGAAACCCTTATTTAGAAAATCAAGTGAAATAAAAAAATGCATTTAAATTTAATAGTGGTTACCTACTCTCAGTACCAAGTAATGGCAAGGAAATTAGAAATTGCATTAGTTTACCACATGTGGTTGCATTATTTGATTGTTTTAGTAGTGTTACACTTGCTAAACAGTTGTGCTGATTGTAAGATTATTTTCCTAGAAATTAGGTTAAATGGAAATCTGGGCATCATTCCGCTAACCTAGAACATCAAACACTACGAGCCGTCAGATTAGTGTCTGAGTTTGGTGTGGCAGATCTGTGGACAAAAATTTTATTAAGTGTTCGGCAAATATATTTCCTTCAAATTAATAGAAATCAACATTCCGTGGTACTCTGTAATTTACTCTCTCTTCATTCACTTTGCTTCCAGAAAATAGTTACCTGATGTGTAATCAAAATTGCAGGCCAATTATTTCAAAACTCCATGTCATAGAATCCATTATCAATCATACTACGTATAGACTTTTGATGAGGCCATAATAATTTTTACTAGGATACCACCTCATGCTATCAGGAAAAAAAATCAGCTTATATGGAAGCAGTAAGTTTTTTATTGTCCCATTGTATTTCCCCATGCTTTTCAAACGGAATAATTCAAAACATGGCCATTTCTATCGGTTGGTTATTAATATGATGTTAACGTAATTGCAAAACTAGCTTTTAGCGTTTGATTGCGTTACGTGCGTCAGGCCATACGAGTAATAACTACCAGTCAGCACTAAAAGCCACCATCATGCTATCACAGGCATCAGATCATGCCATGCAAGGTCTGCTTATGTTTTTCATACATGCTAGGCAATATCGTAGTCCACAAGTATGCGCCACAGTAAATACATAAAGAAGCGGTCATTTAAAGTGCTTAGCACATAAAAATCTATCGGCAGCTGGTTAAATGAGTTGTGAAGGGAAATCAAGATGGTGATATCAGTGGATACCAACGGCTTAGTGAACTGATTTGGGAGTCCAATTGAATGATGCTCAGCAAACACTTAAAGTTGAATGCGTTTATGCAATAGCATATCCCATTTTTGGTTTGTTTACAGGGAGATAGTTTTCGTTCGCGCAGTACCTCCAACTGTAGCCATCTCTTTCAATCTTCACGTTGTTCAACAACTAGTGCGCAAACGTCTATAGGATGCTCTTCAGTAGATTTAGCAACCCAGATGGAGTCTCTAGCTCTTAGAGGGCACTGTGATGACTTCTCCACAGCCAGAAAATACACTACCTTCAAAGGCGAGACGTCAGGCCACAATTTGACTCCTGCGGTTACACTTTGTCCTCCTTCACCCTGCAGCTCACTCAATAACACGGCGCCAGTCAAAGTGCAAATACTCGGTGGGCCAACGGTAGGCAAGACCACTCTCTGTCGTCAATTTCTAACAGCAGAATTCATGGGTGGTAGAACAGAGTCCTGTAAGTAAGCTTATTTTTAATGACTTTTTCATAAAGATCAGTCCCATGATTTATTTCACTTTTCTGAAAAACAAAATTTTATTACCTATTTATGCACTCTAAACGGTTTTTATATGGGTGTAAATTGGAAGTCCAGAAACTTTTACGCCGCAGAAATTTAATCAAGTGTGTAAGACACTGCCGCATGCGTTTAACTAGTTAACAAACTTCGAAATATAAATTTTGCAGTCCATTTAACGTGTTAATAATTCAAATCAAATTAACAAGTATTATAAATGCTGACACAGCAACACGGATAAATTATTATAGCAATTAATACGCCAGGAAAAAATTCGGTAAAATCAGTAATGTGCAAATCACCAGAGCACACAATCAAGAAATGGAATCACTTGTACATAAAATATTGTGTTTTTTTTTTAAATTCCCCTTTGAATGCAAGCTCAATGCATTGATTATCAAAAACATTACAAGTCCAACTACTTTTTTCCTAGAACATTTTGTTTCCTTATTGAAATGTAGTATTAAGAAAGTGAGCAAAGAAAAAAAATTGAGAAAAGTTTATCCATAGCAAGTTATTTTTTCTCTAAATATTAAGTTTCTAGTGTAAATTTAAAATAGATGGTTTTTTAAATGAAACCTTTCTGATACATGCGCCATTGTTGAAAAAAGAGAAATTTCAAATTATACCATTTCAGTGTTTCACAAATATATGGGAATAACATCTTGCAAAGTCTCACAATTCCAGAATAAATCGATTTTTTTGAAACGATCGTACGAAACAGCGACTGATTCTCTTTACAAAATATTCTCTTATTAACTGGTGGATTTTAGCAACCTGTTAAGAAAGGAAGTCGACACAACATCTTAAGATAAACCAATGAAACTACCTACAGTTCCCCATTTTGTTGAATTTACGTGCCTAATTGTTTTGTGCTTCGGATAGAATTTAGTTGTATTAGGGCTAAAACGTGCTGTGCAATTTAGTTTCCGAGGACAGTATTGAGCGATTTGTGGTGATCGAAGTGGATGGCTGGAACAGGAGCCTCATGCTCATCGACAACATTCGAGAAGAGGCCTCGGCAGACGTCTCGTCGACGGAAGCCGGCGCCTCGCTGTCGGGCCCCTTCTGCAACATCGAAATTCCATCATCTCTGTTAAGTGAAGCAATGCCGAGACACAGACCAATGTCCTTCAACTGTCCCACCATTTCAAATATCACCAGAGGGGATACATGTGTTCCGCAGACAGGATCAAGCCTTAGCAGTTTTAAGCCAGATGACACATCTTTTGACAAGAAAGCTCAGTCTGAGGCAAGCATCCAGATTTATTTCTGCCTTATTAAGACTTTTAAGTAAATTGGAGTTAATTTAAGATGCTGTTACTCCACATCGTGGATTCGGAAATTAAAGCCAAAGCGTCAATTCAGGGTTAATTAACGTATTTTATATACTGCATTAGTATTATTTCACTTAATTATCGTTAAATTAACATAAATTGGCCATAATTTAAAATAATATTTTTTATTTACAATTAGTCGAAGTGTTTACGTGAATCGAACGTGAGAATCCTCTCAAAAATGTTTATGTCCACATTTTTTCCAAACCTCTGTTGCCAGGGCTATTCAAATCAGTATTTCGGTAGGATTTAGCTTCCGGCTTGGCTCTATAAAATTTAAAAAATGATAAGTGGCAATATTATTTTTAATCTTCAATCGTTACGCTTTATTTTTCGTGAAACACTTTAAGCGGACAAAGTATGGCTATTACGGCCAGCTTCTACAGCCTTTGTGCTTATAAGGCCTAAATTTTAAGCACTTTTTTTTTCAAATTCTGAATGCCAAGGTTATATTTGCATAGCCTTGTGTCCCTATTGTATTTGTTGCGTAAATTTCATGCTACAATGGGATTTATAAAAACTTCCTTTAAGAAGGCTGTAGTTTCGTTGGGGGGAAAGTGTTGCTGTTGCCTTCTGTTTCGTTATTTAGGCCTTTAAATAAACTGGGGCGAAATAAAGGTGAAGTCTGTAAAGAAATAGAACACTTTTAAAACCGCGACATGATGTCCTAGTGAAAGATATGCTCAACCTAGTTTTGTGAGCAGTGAGGATCACGGTTTAGTGTCTAATACTTTTAAACTAACGGAAATCGTCAAATACTATGAGAACTAGTCCCTTATTCCTATCACATAACTACGCAGGTTCTCAAAATTACAACCATCCCTGACTGCGTTATGAGCCTAATTGAAACAGCACGGGCAAGGGACCGCCAACTGAGAATTTAAACTCAGCGGTCAGAATCTGGAAGGAACTAAATGGGTACATGAATGGTTACTTCCAAATAGAAGCACGAAAAGGCATTTTAGCTGCCTTGCTATCTTAAATCAACCCACTATGTTATTATGCAGTGACAGCCCATTAGGCAACCGGCAGTGTTATCATTCGGTTAACGTTACGTATTATGTGCTTGCATTAAAGAAAGGGTTCAATAACACTTAAAAAGATGTCTGCTAAACAACACACCGCAGTTTATACTAAATCGTTGCTCCTTTGATTAAATTATTATTCCAACATTTTTATCGTCGGCGCGTGTCTACGTGTTACTGAGGTTGGAATCACACGCAAATTGATTTAGAGCTTATGAAGTTTTGGTTGGATGTCATTTGACATTTTAGTATGATGCTACATCTAGAAAGATCATGAAGAGATCTTATCCGTTAAATTTTTATTACAGAAATAGTAATATGTCGTCAAAATTATAAAATAGTTGTCACTAAATATTTACAACTTGAAGCTTTATGTGTTGTTGATTGCATATTTCTTGGTATTTGACTTTTTTGAGCTTCATAAGCAGCATCTGAGTTTAGAATTGACAACTGCTACACGGAGGAAATTGTAGGCAAGTTGAACTCTTAAGCATTTTGCCAAAATACAAAGATAAACATATAATCAAGAAACTCTTTTAAATTTAGCATGAATTTACATTTTCTCAGGCATTTTCAGCTGGCAACTAAGCATACGTGGTAGCGGAATTCAGGCTTTTATTGGCTACAGTCTGCAAAATTTACTGTCTGAGGCATATTGCTTCAAAAATATAAACTTCGTGTGGCAAATTAAAATTAAAAGAGATAATGAAAAGGAAAGTTGCATCACAAATATTTTGATGCTATAAATAGAATTTTCATCACCATCATATATTTATTCACAAAACTTATAAAAATATCTAAGTTGACTAGAAACAAATAACGTATCAAAGGCTGGAATTTTAAAGTAACTTGTTTTCCGTGTGAACTGGGGTAATGTGCGATACAGCAGTCATCTTACATTTTAAGAACATAAATCAGAATTAATTTTGAAAGCTTACCTCCGGATATGCTTGGAAGCAACCAATTTCCATTAATAATAAGGTAAATGAACGTAAACTAGCGACGTAAGGAAAAAAACCTGTTCTGAAATGGTTTTTTGCAATCACAATTTACTCAGAGGTTAACTTGGTTTTTGCCATTTGATCGAAACAGACATAATTGCTTTTGACGTTGACTTGATGAAGATACGCATTAGCTTTACTCCCACCGCGTTCATAAACTGACCAATTTAATCTGCGCTATACACACAAGAAGGTTGTGTGAAGTGTGACTCAGCAAGAAATTCGACAGTTTCTTGTGGTGAGATTGTATGCGAATGTTATATATTTGATGCCAATACCAGGAATAAAAACTTAGGCTTATATGATGCCCTACTAAATGCTTTGATCAATTCAAAATACTGCATTATTTAAGCGTACATTAAAGTCCCCAGATTAAAGATTTGTTTTTTTAATCAATCATTTTTTTTCAATTGCACAGAAGGACAATTAATTAGTCTTATCACCAGTGTCCTATTAAGTGACAAACTTGTTTAATTAAATCAGGATTTTTTGTAAACAAAAATTTTAAAAACAAGCATCTTAAACCCTCGACTATTTCAAGCACTAAATAATATTTCTCGATATCTTAATGTTTAGGAAAATAGGAGTCAACTAATTTATTTACGAATAGCAGTAAATCATAAAATTAAAGTCGCTTACTCATCTCTTACACTGACTGTTGAACGCGTCTACCAGTCCACCTGCTTTTATTTTGAATAATGCGGCTCTTAATTTAGTTCTACATTTCTTAATCTCCCCACTCGTAAGCTGGGCTGCGTTAATAAGGATTCATACATTGCAAATTGCATACAGGTAGATTCCTTATTCTCGATGAAGTTCTGCTGTTTGGAAATTAAGTAATTTCCAGTACAAAATTTATTTGCAAACGTGAGCTTTGTTTTTCATGCTAGTATGAGGATTAAGATTAACTTACAACCATTTTACTGTCTACCAATCGGAAAACAGAGTGACAGGTCCGGAAGGTGGATTGTGGTAAACTGCACAGGTTGACTTCAAAATTTGCCGAAACATCAGCCACTTAAAATACACACAAGTATATGACAGCAGAAACTACTGGTTGTTAATGCACTTAACAAATTTTTTAATCTAGCTATTATAGTCTTACGAATTACGATGGTGTTTCCAAAATCGATGAAGTTAAAATATTTTAGGTCCGAATGAATTTCAGCAATGTTTTATGCTTACTTAACACAACACATTTTGCAACTAAAAATGCACCTTTTGGCAAAACAAATGTTTACTTTCATTTTGGCCTTCAAGGCAAAAATTAATCTCGTTAAGTATGTGGCTAAGTGTAAACTGCTGAAGGGTGAATGGCAATGAGACAGGCAAATGCAAATTCACACCTTTTCAAAAGCAAAAAAAGTTTACTCAATAAAACGTGTTAAAAATGCGCTGTTCAAAACTGCACATGCTTAATTGTATTTACACAAACAAAACATTTAAAGGTACAAAACTGCAAAACTGCTGCAAACACAAGCTCACAAAGATTGGTTTGTGCTCAGAATATCCGGATTTGTTTTAACTCTGCATCTATTAAAATTGAATTATGGCTGCCTTTGTTTTGCCAACATGAAATTTGTTTTTTTTCTTTTTTTTGAATAAAACACATAGCATTATAATGTGATACCTTTCATTTTTGCAGTTAAACCTCATCTCAACGGGTTCAAATATAAAACTAAAAAATGTAATCTTTTGCTGCTAGCAAAATCATTATTTCTGAGGTTGATTAATTTATTCCGTAAATTTAACTTACGAGTCTGTCCAATCCAAAGTGCTAAATTGTCGAAAATGCACCACATTGGGTTCATTTTGCCACAAATGTGCGTGACTTTGGTTTAGTGCCCTTAAAATTGCTTTTTAGTACGTTTACATTTATAAAACTAGCCCAAAACAGGTTACTTACCCTGGCTGTCAAGAACCAGCCCTACCAAATGCATTCTCTCACTTGTCGCTTAGGTGCATTAAGGGGTGCAAGGAAATACCGATAAGAAATGCAGGTTCTAAAAATTAAATCTTTTTCAAAAAATGCTCTCACAGATTAAAAGAGTTTTCGAATTGCGGCTAAATGGTTTTTTTGCAAAAAAGTTTAGACAAACACACTAGTTATAGCTTTACAACATTTAAACTAGTTGGTGGTGCTGTTTTAATTAAAGTTGGTCTTTTCCGGAGATACTGTAGGAACACTCATGTGTAAGTGATCAAGATCAAATGGGGTGGGAATCGGAGGTGCTGAGAATTCTGCGTAACACATTTAGACGATAGTTTAGATAGATGACTTATCACAGAAATTTTACAAATGGCCAACAGGTTTGTAAATATATCTAGACATTGTAAAAATAAGGCTGCTAGCAAAAAACGTTTAAATTGTTAGTCATGATTAATTTAGGGTTTGGCAATTTATCAGCCTATCTTTGCGTGCCCTCCAAATACATTTGCATGCTTTTTACCAGCACACAAATGCTCAATTTACGAAGCGACGCTTAGCAACTACCTCGCGCGACATCAAAATCACGGCTGTGGGATGTTACGTGTGTCCTATTCACGTAATCTGCACCGATCATGGAACACGTTGATCTATAGGCACTTCCATTCGTTGAGTAAAACTTCTAATGATTTTAGGTCCTCCTTGCTTCATATTTTGAAACTATCTGTCGATCATTGTAAGCAATCTTATACTAATAATATTGACTAAGGGGTTCATCGAATGACACACATTTTAGAATGCAGCAGTGGCGTGGTGGTACAAGGCATCATGTTGTTAGTTTACATAGGATCGCTAAACATCGACCTCTAAATAAACATGAAGTACATTCACGTAAATAGACTGCATCGTGTTAGCTCACACCTGCTAACCGTGTTTGCTCACAATTGCTGTGTTCACTTTCTGCTTGCCACAAGTCAACTTATGCTTAAACGCCTGAAGCCATGTTTTGACGACAAATGGGATTAAGTGAAGAGAGACTACCGCAAAAGACAGCTTTTTTGAAGATGGTCATTTTGTTGTCATTTAGTCTAATTAAATTTGTGGACCAGTTTTCAGGAGGGTGGATAGCAATGGTTGAGCAGCAAACTTCGCCTAGTTCAGTTATCTTTTACAAATAACTCGCATGACCTCTTGTTGCACACGTAATACCTGTTAGGGTGAATCTTAACGGAGCAGATAAGTTTGCTTTAAGACTAAGATAAAACAAGGTAAAATAAGAATGTCACTTAAACTGCAGGCTTCGCTATAACCCACACACACATACACTTTGCTTTTGGCTGCACATATTTTGACTGTTAGCCATGCAAGGAAAAGAGTTAAAATGATTGTGTAGGGAAGGTGATAAATGTTGAAAAGCGGCTTTTCAGGATCTGTTGAAACGACTCAAGATGATTATTAGGGACATATGATGCAAATCGTAATTTAGAAGTGATTAACATGGTCTAATTCAAATTATATTTACGTAGTTAACTTACCAAAACTATTACTTGTTTTGCCTGAATGCTGCAACAATGCGAGCGTCCAATTTATTGGCGAACAAAAGATAAAATACTTATTTAACTTGCCTCTGCTTGAGGCATCGTGTATAATTATACTACTTATTATTCTGTTAAGTCAGAGGTATTAAAAGTTTCCTACCAGGCTGCAATTTTGTAATGGGAAACGGCAAATATTCCACCAGTGTGTCATAATGCCAGTGACATGAGGGGTGCCAGTCACAACAGAAGGGATATTTCAAAAAATTTATATAGGTTTGTGTGAAGGATGGTCACACCAGGCTATTTAAAAAAGCATATGATTTCTTTCTAAAATTTAATACTCAAAAAGCTACTGCAAACATTTTTTAACCAGAACTAGATAGTGACGCACTTTAGCATTACGTAACTAAAGCACACGGCATTGTTAACTGCTGCTCCTATTCATTGACGCACAGAATGAACGGTATGGTATGGATACTGATTTAACACTGTCACAAAACCTTTTAGTAGCAAAACGCTCTGACACCAGCAGTCCCTTTGCTTGTTCAAACCTACTGACAGATCTCCTAGTCTCTTGTGTGGTTCATCAGGTTTTGGAATATTTTCAAATTTGCCACATCAACTACCAGTGATTTTCTATATATGTTCCATTACAAAGACTTTGTCTCTTTATTTTCCCTATTCAGTGTTACCCATCGCATAATGAGCAATGAGGACACAAACCACTTTGTCCATTTTCTCTTGCCACTACCTTTTTTAGTCATATTCGTTTAGTTTTTTGCTGTTTTAATAACAGCGACTTTGCTTAATATGGGCTGTCATTAATATTAAGATATTTATATCCAATATTTATTTGAAAAGTTACTTAAAGTTCTGTATTTTGGCAACTTAAATCAAGTTAAATAATGATAAAATTTGCTTAACTATGCATTCATTTAAAATTAAGGAAAGTGACATACGTATAATAAACTTTTTTTAATTTTAGTCTGTTTATCAATAGTTTTTTGAAAACCTACCATCTTTGATATTATCAAATTTAAGCTACTTGTTAAATGTCTAAACACTTTTGCAAAGGTACTATTATTCGAATCTGCTTCTACCTTTTACTTTCTGAAATAGAAACTTAAGAAAAATGAAAACATAAATAGTCACTTCTTCCAGAATCTACAAGCTAGTCCTAATAGCAATAAAGAGTCGGCTTTCTTTACCGTAGGCTATGGGCATATTTTTGGCCTTTTAGATAATCATGTTGCGTTCAAAACGATTTTGTAATCTAAAAAAGATCTCCGACATATTAAAATATTTTAATAAATAGGCTGGAAATTATTGGTTGAGTGCAGAATATACTCCGATTTATTGCAAAATTTTATGCACCTTGTACTCACTAAATGTCTCCAATAACGTTGATAATAAAATTATCTCCCAGTGGCAACGCCTAGTGCAGCCCTCGAAGCTAATCAAATTTAATTTAAGTCAACTTCTAGTACCGTGAGCAGAATATGTTGATCAACTAGTTTACCGTTTATGACCAGTGAATGCACTATATGAAGACACACTGAAGACCACTCTTTTAACGATATCTATGAGATTCTAGAAATCGTTCACAAACTTTGACAAACCAACCCTACCAAATCGAAATCTGTGACTTATTTGTAAAAAATTGCTGAGTGTGTAGTGTTTGTTGAATTTGTATTGAAACTTATGTATTTCCTTAGACATTCAAAACTATTAATGTAGATGGCAGCTTTCACGATCAGCGGCCGCACAGGCGATTTCTAATATCAACACAAATGAACTCAGAATATTAGCGCAAACATTGAGCCTTCTCTGTTAATTGTATATTTTTGCATGCCATATTTTGTGGTTCTAAACAGTAATTTGTATCGTAAATTTGTTCCTAAGACTGCCACTTTCATGTTCTTATTTATCGCTGTAGTCAAAAGTGTGCGATCAAAATGTTAGTTACCAGAATTTTAATGTTTTAGCCTGGTTTTTGCAAGCCTTTGGTTTGAAGGTTGACTCACCAGCTACATACAGCCAACCTTGTTTACCCTCTAACAGTTTAGTCTTGCCTGGTATGGAAAAGCAACACCATAAATTTGCGGTTTAATGTTTGCGCTTTATACCTTGCTCGGACTTAAACGGAATGTCATCAGCTTCGTTGTTTCTTTAGCTGGAGATTCGTATTTTGGACGCAGACATCTATGTTGTTGTGTATGCGGTCGACGGCGAAGCGTCTTTTAAGGTGGCCAAGACCATTTTCAGACAGCTCCACGAAATTAAAAATTCGGACAATAAATTGCGACTTCTCTACCTTGTGGGCAATAAAACCGATCTGGTTCGATGTCGGCAGGTTACAACTCAAAGTATGTTTGTTTCTTTAGCTTATGTATGACAAACCATATGCACGAAGTTAAAAAAATATACTTTTTCCAGGAATTACTGTGAAATTGTGAAAAACGCAAATCATGTCTTTTATTTTTTACGGCAATAAACTCCTAAGACCATTCGGCGAAGACAGTTGATAAAAGTACACAGTCGGTGAGCACAATTTATGGCAATGTAGAGTTGAATTGTGTTTGTGGAAAATCTACAATTGTGCTATTTTTGAATTCTTTTTAATGCCTTTTTCATATCAGCCCGTAGTTTCTCTGTTCAATTTGCTATGAACCCACTTTATTAGTTCCATGTTAAATTTTAGTATCATTGACAAGCTTCTTAAGTGAAATTTCATTTAATTGACTAGTTTTTGAAAATAGCAGCAACTAAAACTAAAGTAAAGCTGACAATTTCATTTCATTCTATACATTAGCGTATTTTACAAATACCTAGAGATTAATTTCTATTTTGGTTAACTAAGTAGTCATTTATTTTGCCATAACTTCCAGTACAGGACATATCCTTTTCTTTTTTTAAGCAACGCTATAATATGTAAGATTTTTAAACTGATGTTTTAAAAGATTGTCGCAATTTTAAACACGTCTGTGATTTTTAAGATTTCATGGTTCTGGTAGGACTTTATAACTAAGTCGTGAGCTGATTTGCAATTTTCTACTCTCCCCACGGTGTATTATTTCCTTTGCTACGTGAAGTGGAATGAGGGGTTTTGTTTTTTAAACCGAAAAGACCGTGTGCGAAAGCTGAAGAAAAGTGTTCTTTTATCAGTATTTAGAAACGCAGATTTTCAGGCGGTTCAAGTTATTCTCGACGATCTGGAATGTTCGTTTTCTTGAAGCATTTGAAAAACGCCACTTTGCATGAACAAACCAACATCAACTCGCCTTATTTTAGCGTCTGTGTGTTGAAACCCACAAAGTAAAATCAAGTAGTAATAAATTTTTCTTTGAATTTTGTGACCGTCATTTTGCGTTATTTTAAGCACATAGACGTTGTTTTGCTTACCTGGGAATTAAGGATCTAAATTCGTTCTTACGATTTCGTTCACTTTTAGCATTGTTTTGAAAACAAAAGATACTAATCTGCGAACTTAAATGTGAAGTTAGGAGATAACTTTCAGTTATCAATGTTCCTCCTGATTTGCAAACTAAATCATTTTTAACAAATTTCATCTTGGACACTAGCGAAAAGCAGAAAGTGGAAGGTGATATTTTTCCATCTCTTTCTGTTGAAAACCACTCTCTCTAAGCCATTGTTTTAGGTTATACCTCGTTTTATTAAGTTAGATGTAATATTTAAACAGTGAAAATTTGTTTCTGATAGTTTCTTTAGTATGTTGACTATGTCAGAAGCGTATTTATTTAAATAAAGGAACGATATTGCGCGATTTGCGTGTCTTCTGAAAGACACAATCCTCAGAAGTATACAGACTCAGTGTGTTGTATTACGGGACCTGGTACTTAGGCGTTAGGCGGTAACTTACTTTATCCTTAATACTGACTCTGTAAATCGGTGTTACTGGTAAAGCGCATAAAGTTTCGTGAATAAAAGGTTTACTGCCAAAATCAGAACAGCTGACCTGTCAAGTGGATGAGAAGATTGTTAAAAAAATTTCATTTGCAAACTGATAGAACCATCTGCTCTATCAATTTCAGGAATCAGACGATGCTAGCTTTCGGGATTTCTTAGCCAGAATAATATCACCATCTAGTTCTAGTTTTTACTGAACATATGAACTGCAAAAGCACAACAAGACCATTAAGCATCGAAATAATCAGGTTAGTATCCTGATGATATATTTAGTAAAACCTTACAGGAATTTGTTTTTCTATCAGTTTATTTATTTAACTTTCAAACGATAAAAAGAGGCCATTAATTCAAATAATATCATGTCATTACAATTCGACCGTAATGGTGGCAACTTACGACAACGTTAAAACTAGACTAAAAGCACCTTTTTATCATCAGATTTAATTGTGCTTCCAGATTATTACCCTATAAGTCTGTAAGCGTTGTCTCAAATTACTTGGCCGAAAGCATAGTTAGCTTTCCCATTTATTCCCAGAGTACCTTTAATTGAACCTAAGTGCTTGAAATAAACGTACACTCAAAAGAATTTGCACGTAGAAAAACAGATATATGTGGGATTTGCAAACAATGCAACAGTCTCACTGAATGTGAAGATTTGTACAGCGGCAGTTTACATCGGTTTGCAGGACGCACAGCAAGCAGTTCCTTTGCGTTTTATAAAGTAAAGGCAAAGCTAGATATTTGTACATTTCAATGAAAAAGTCAGGTGTGTTTTACAATTGAAGCAAAAGCCTTTCTTGATTTAGCTATCACGCAATGAGCCGAAGCAATTGGTCATCCGAATTCCAAAAATCAGCTGAGATCTAGTTAGTTTTATTTTGCTAAAGAAAAGACCATTCAGCTAAAATTAGTGGTTGAACAGGTTATTTACTAAGTGTTTAAAGATTAAACTACCCAATGTGGATATTGTGAGCACAAATACATCATTACTGCCAGAATCAAGTTCATCAGCTTACAAACTCCAGTTCAGCTACAACTGCGCAGAATTACTCTTTATCAGAGGCGCCTCCTTGTGTCTAAATACGAAAACTAAATCTAAAATATGTTTTACTTGAATTTGATGTCCATTAAGAGATCTGTAATCACAGCGTTACAGTCAAACATCCTTTTTGGCATCCTCAGTTTTCTTCGAACCAGTCATCCAGCTATGGCCATACCTACCACAAATTCTTCAGGTTACCTAGAGTATATTTTGCTGGGTGGTATCACTCAGAACACCAACAGTTTCCAATTAAGGACATCGAGTGAATGGTTTACCTTCAAGTTATATAGTTCATGGGTAGGTCGCGATTGGCGCAAAGTTCTTCCACTCCCATTTTTAATCGTCAGTGGCAGATTTAAGTAAAAGGTCGGCTACCCTACAAGGGGAAATTTATAAATCAATTATTCTATCTTGGTATTAGCGAAACAGCGGTCTCAAAAGGTAGTTACTGCAATGTTATTTAACGTAGCTTGGTAAAACAACTGACCTGTTTCACTGAAACTCGCCTGTACGAGACTAGTCTGATCCGGAAAATGACCTGGTGTGGACCATTCCTCAATAAATTAGCAAATATATTGACTGGTGCATTCGACGTCAATTCCATTGATAAATTTAAACTGGATTAAAATCACAAGCCACGAATTTGGCCCACGCACCCAAAATGCACATACTGAAGTGCTTCTTTTTTCATTTGTAAAGGCGAATTTCACATTATATAATATTAGGTGAATAAGCATTAAAGATTTTTTTGCAAAATCCTCTGAATGGTACTAAACTAAGTAGAGTAAACGACTTCTCATTAACTAATTAAATACCTTTAAAGTGCCTTTCATTATTATCCGGATGATTTGTTACTCGTGGTACTTCGTCATGTTTATATTTTAGCATAATACCTGGCATTCCAGTTTTGATTATTGGTCCATTTGTTAGCATAGAGAATATAGGCCATTGGATCAAAAAGTTTGGAAAGTTGTAAGTGCTCATTTTGTGGCGCACGAATAGCAGCATTAAAAAGGAGTCCTAAAAATGAGGGCCACTTTGATCTTTGTAATGGAAAAACTCAATAACCCGACTAAAATGATAATTTACAAGCAGACGTTTCTCTTTCAAAAATAATCCAACAATTATCCCAATGAATTCGCAGTTGTTGCGTGATCTAGTCCGCACCCTAATGGACTGAACTCAGTTGTTGTAGTTCTCCCAACATGCTCTGGTTTCTGAATGAGGGCAGCGAAATTGAATCCAGCACGATTTTAATAAAAGTGGCCGACGCTGCTGGATTAGCCCATCTGATGTGTACCGCATATCCTCTATCATCTGTAACGATATTAAGCATCACGAATTTACCAGGCCGTCACGCATCACCACTCACTTAGGCAGAAAGTGGAGAACAGTGTAATTGTCAAGTTCAGAGCAGAGGAAATGCCTTGTGTCTACATGAAAAGGGATCAAGAGAAATTCAGCGGTGTCTAGCGGATAATTTTACAACTATTTTATCCTTTTCTTTCACCATTTTGATGTTCATAGCGTCGCAAAAGAGAGAACAACCACTCACCCCTAAAACTGCCTAGAATGCTTATGATCTTTTGCAGGACAAAAGAGCATCAGGTAAAGTTATCTGTTTCTCTTAACAATTACTGGTTTGTCTAAAGTTGCCAACTTTTTTACGCTAAATTCAATTTTTTGTGAATTCGTTGACTTGAAGGTTCTACTTAATTCTCGTTCTGTAAACATTTAGGTTTATTACTGTAGGTGGTTTGACTTAGTTAAGTTTTAGCACTTAATAGAAAGAATTAACGGTGCATTTAGGAACACAAATTTGGCTGTTTCATTTTAAAGGACCTATTTATTCGTAAAAACCTTCGATATTAAGAAATCCAAAATTTTTTTATTGAGCGTTTTTCCAGAATATTACCTCTGCATTGTAACTTAATGTTTCTTAATTCTGTGTTTTGTACTCATATCTTTAACCTGCCTCATATCTTTTGGCATAAATTGATGAAACTGCAATGTAGACAAGGGGAGGTGCCTCTTATTCAAAAATCACAATAATGAAACCAACTAGTTTGCATCAAACCTTCTTAAAACACAAAATTTCAGACAATTTTTTCAGCAAGGCCTATAAATGCTCTCTAAAACGCTTAGATAGTTTCAAATATTCTGTGCACTCAAGTGTCATAAATTAAAATCAGGTAATGAGTCATCGAGTGGAGGCATAGGGCACTTTCTAGATGTGGCGTGGCAAACATGACTCCAGCGTCGAAACACTGCTTCATAAATAAATGAGAACTTAAGTCACCTTTCTAAAAACACTTTTAGTGCGTTCCTTTTGCTTCAAGGCACATGTTAAAAGTTATGAAGGAAAGAATCATACCTCACCAAGATAATGTTCTCAGCCATTCAGAAAAAAGTTTTCTTGGTGTAATTTAAGCAAATTTAAAGTTTCATCTTTGCTAAAATTACCAGGCTAAGACTCACATACTAGTTTACATAATGGGCACATCTTTTTCATAATAAATCCACTAAATACAAATGAGTTGTTATAGCATTGGCAAAATTTGCAGTTCTCAAATTCTTGCATTCGCATGCATCAACCGTTTCTTACTCTCTAGATTTTTTGAATTAATTTACCTGCAATACAAATATAAATGATCAGAGAAAATGATAACATTTTGACCCAATTACGAAGCAGGTCTGTAGGGTATGCACTCAAGTGTTCAGTAACTTTGTATACTGACTGAAATTTGACATATTGTATCATACTAATGCAAACTTTCTCATATATTTGGAAATCAGTCTTTTAACCAGAATATTTTTAGTGTTTTGACAAGAATTTGTTTGTGTGATGATTATAGTAGACCACATCGAGGTAAAAGTTGCCTACTTTGGGAGGACGCTTACAAGGTGAACAGATAAAGCCACAGTTCGAAGACTTACATTATCATACCAATTTATTAGAAAACCAGGAAACTCTGGTTAACTTCTTTAAATTGTGCCTGAAGCCGCGATATAGGAGGAAACGGAGATGAGATCACAATTTAATAATATAGGTTACACCAAGGTATCAGGAATAAGTGCCTTAGCAATACAAAGCAAAAAAGTTCCTAAATTTAGCAACATTTTTGTTACAAATTTGAAATGTCTTAATTCACAAATTAGAGCACATCTGGTTTAGCATACCCCAAAATACAAGTTAGACTAAAGTAGTCTAGATTTACTAGGTTTTTACCAACAAACACAACAGAAAATTCAGACTGCATAATACACTATACGTAGATGCAATTAACATTTTTACGCAAGAAACGCAATGCACTTTTTGTGATTATGCCACATTAAGGCCTTAATGTTTCATGTACCATCTTTGGCATCCATTGCTACCATATCCGATACGTTCAAAAGAAACATTTACATCTTACTATTGGAAAAAAGCAAGAATTACGCATTGGGTTATCAAAGTATCGGTAGGCTTTGATTTTAGCTTTTTTTGTTCTTGAGCAAAATTTTGGAATTCATTTTTAGGTCCATGTTACCTTTGATAGAGGTCCATAGATTCATTTACAACAATTCATTGGTCCTTAACCAGTGCGGTGTTTTTGTAATATAATTGTGCAAATGAGTACTTACGGGTTGGTTTTGAATTATCCGACTTCTAGTTGATCGCAAGAATGGACCTAAGCACGTTGTCGTTGCTATATAAAACTCAAATCAACTTGACTCATGACATGTGCGAAAAACAAACTAAAAATAAACTTTTGACTTGCATTAAGATGAGAGGGAGACAAAAAAACGTAACTTGTCAGTTTTATTCTTAAACAATTTTTAATGGTAACTTAAAAAAAGGAGGAACACACTTCGGTGGCTCTCTGAACTCCATTTTGTTATATTTCAGCTAGATATATGAGTAAACGTAATAAACGAAACACTTTCGTGTGGAATAAAATGCCTATTTTAAAAGGTCTTTTGTTCTAACGCTCAGCAGTGGACTAAATGTCCCACATCGTTACTAAAACAAAGAGTACAAAGCAGTCATGCTCCTTAGGGAGAAAATTTGTTTAATTATACAGCATTTGCCATTTGATTTTTTTCCTGCTTTGTTGCAAAAAGAAGCATTGCCCATTTAAAATGCACCTGAATCGTGTAATGAATGCAAACATCAAATAAGGCTAATTTTTAAGCATGTTATTCTGAGAGTTTGAATACCCCGAATGAATGACGCATGTAATCAGTTTTTATCTTTAAGGAGGCCGAAAATTTGCTGTGGCGAATGGAGCCACATTCTTCGAGGTGTCTGCGGCAATCAATCACTTGGTGGACGAATTGCTGGTCGACATGGTAGTTCAGTGGCGAAAAGAAATCACTCGGTACGAGTTCACTCGTATAGGACTGCCGCTGCATGATGCCGTGTCCGAGGAACCAGAAGCCTCTGCTTCCGGTTGCGAAATCCATGGACGTCGCAGCTGGGCCTTGACGTTAAGCAATCCAAAAGACATGCTAAAACGCTTTTTTAAACAGCAATTCACAGCAAAATCTTGTACAGATCTTCAAAAGTCTTAAGGCGATAATATAAAGGCATTTGTACAATGTTGGCAATTATGCGTCTGTTGATAAGATGATTAATATTTTCCTCCAGTTAATTAATTCACTCACCGATTTCTCCAGGAAAAAACAATAAATACAGATCCCTTTCTTTACAAAAGGTCACCACATTTTAAGGCGCTCTAACTCAAAATGCCAACGAAGGAAGAATAAAAAACTAAAGATGCAGGGCATATAAATGTCCCTGATTAAAATGCTGAACGAATATTACAGGTGCTTCTTGCATATGCCACATAAAGTGATGCTGCATAATGCAGTTGATAAAAGTAAATTTCGTACCAAGCTCACTGAATGTAGACGTGAGTATAAGTGAGTAAGATGCATTTTTATGCTATTCTAATGGATTGCACAATGTTTACAGAGACCAAATGAAAATAGAGTGGTACTTACAGATTTTAAGAGAACACAATATTTGCATAAGAACCAAGCTATGAATGGACCCTTTTGTGCTCTGTAGCTTTAAGCGTGATGCATAAAGCAATCATTCTCTCAATTGACCCTAACCACCACGCAACCGCCACAGAGAACAATTGGCATAACATCAATACCTCGCAACTGTCATTTGCAGTTGGCTTAGCTAGTATATCTGGCTATTTAATTTGAAACACGGATATCTAGGCAATGTCCAAAACGTGCCAAACTGCAGTAGTATTTCCATTTTCTAATTTCTAAAATAAATCCGCCTTTGTATTTATCAGAAATACCAAATTAAACCAAGTGTAGTATTTTTCACTAGGGGTTTTTTTCGTACTAATTTGTCAATCCTAGAGTAAAAAGTATTCTGGTAAATGTCTTGATTTCTAAATTTTGAACAAAAGAATTTTACTATCACTTAAGTAAACGCATTTAATCTATTGTCAAAAAATGTAAAAATATCCTTCGGGTGCATGTTGAAACGCACGCTATTTAATTTCTTCTAATTACTCAAAATCATCGATTTTAAGGTGCTGTTAAAACACTTGTCATTGGGTCTGCTTGTTGTCAGGTTCAATTTAATTTCGAACTGTTTGTGCAACTCGAATGTTCATGTTAGATGTTATTCAGTATGAACGACCTGCTGAACCAAAAAAATCAATGCAGCATTTTGTGTACTTATTTTGACAGCCCGCACACTTCATTCAGTTTAATCGAGTAGGATTGTTGTATATTATGATTTTTTAGTGAATGCACTTAAAATCCAACAAATACATGCTGGTTTATGTAGCATGTAGCTAAATATAAATATTTTTATATTGCTGTGAAAAGCATCCGATTTTGAACCAAAGTCATGGAATAAAGGCTCCTACATTTTTAGCAAAACCGTTGGTTGAAACGTAGTTTCTGAAAGTATTTTACGCTCACAACAGTGATTACATTTTGCTAGGAATACCAGAGCTGTTTAATAATGCACTATGCCTCTTTAAGTGGTCTAAGTTGTCACATCTGACATATCATGTAAGTGACCATAGGAATCGTTGGGAGTTATGTAGAAAGTGATTTGAAATATTGGGGCTTTACGCGAACCTTGACTTCCTTAATTCTGAAAAATTTTCTAACCAAAAACGCCTTTTTGCACTGTTTATTCAAGAAAAAAGAACAAACTAATCCACAAAGTGCTAAACCGAAAGTTTAAAAATACGAGATAAACGAGACATAATGCCTTCTGTTATAATGCTTTAAGTCGGTTAGTTGATTCTACTTTAAAAAGCCAGCAATCCCTTTAACATTGGGATTTCCAAAACTGATTGAGCTAATTTTAATTTAACAAACACTAATTAGATGAAACAGATCTAAACAGATTAAGGTTTCAGTTTTGTTAAATTATGGTTTACCTAGCGGTATAAGAATTATAATAAATGGCGCTAGCTCTATTTGGTTTCACATTTCACCAAATAATTATACGCTCCGGTCATGCAACCTTCAACTCCTATTAATTATGGACCGACTGAACATCATGTTTATTTAATCCATGTATAAATGCCAGAGAAACCATAACAGTGAACTACATTTATATACATAAATTAGTCTTGCAAATTGTCCTTGTGTAAACAAAGCTTGTAAATTTTAACATTTAAAGTGGTGCTAATTTACACTTATTTCATACAACAAGAAGTGAAAATTCAGGTTCCAGAAATAAAACTCTATCAAAGGGCGTCGAGAAAAGGCATACTTCCGCTTTGTACAATTCATTTTAAATGATGCCAGAGCGTGATTTTACTCCCCTGCATATCATTTTGATGTGAAAAAAAAGTTTGTGAGAGTCGTGACCAGGGTATTAATATAAGGGCAAATTTTATGGTATTTCCTTTGCCTTAAACATCCAAATATAAATCAAAACCATTGGACTCTCGAAAAGCCTAAGCTTCCATGAAAAACGCAAATTTTATCCTAATCCCGATGCTTTAATTCATCCTACAGCAGTAGTCGTTGATATGCGTTTGCTCGCTATTCCATTGGCTTAGCTAATTTGTTTTATTTAGTAGATTTTGAAATGCCAAAATTAAGTTCAAGTTTGAAAGTTAAACACTAGGAGAACAAACAAAAGACGCTTTCATGGAAGGCAAGTTGAGAGATTCACACAATCTGGCTTAGAAATACTAGAACCTGTCTGTAATCGATTAAGCATTTCATCTTGCTAGCATTTTAAACACTTTAAATGATTTGTGTCATCTTAACTTATATGAAAATTTATCCTGTGTAGACACGTCCCCGAAAAACAAACTAAACTAAAACCTGCTTGATCAAAATGCAAGAATATCTTTTAATATCATTCAAACCACGCACAACCCACTTCGATTGCGTGTTCTATTGATGCTTCGGAAAGTTTTCTTTGTCACACAAATTCGTTTTGATTCTGCAACTGCCTTGATGAAAAGAATGAATGCGTGCGTTTTGAAGATCAAGTTCAAATCACTGTTGCCATACTTCAGTTTTCAGGCAAAATGTCCTAACCTCAAATCGTGCCCATCACATTTTGAATAACAGTACAAGCACAATTGAAGCAGAGATGAAAATAAACATTTTATTTAGATTCTGTGGTGGTTGCACGCTAGTTTGTGTAACAGTGCTAATTTTCAGCTGATTTGCAATGTATGATTATTATGAAGATAAAAAAGTGCCGTGTCTGTGAAAGAAAAATAACCACTGATCGTCCGCTATTTTCGGGGGAATGTATCAACACGTTCAGTTTCCTCGCAAGGCTTTCCAATGTTATAACGGCAAATATAATTTGGAATATTCAAACTCATCTTGACTTTGCAATTTGTAGTAAATACTTGGGATCAAAATGTTGGCTAATTTCGTTGCTTACACAAAGTGCAACAAGGTACCTTTTGCCTGGAAATAAAGCCAAACCAGCGTTCATCCATACTGATACCTACATGGAGAAGCCAGCCAAATAAACTGCGACCCGGAAATGTCGTATTAGATTTGTGACGACACCACCAACTTTACTCCGTTGCCAATTTCCCCAATACACTGTGTACAATAAAAATTACCAATTCCCATATTTGTGCCCATTTGGACACACTTTATCTTACCGTAGTGCAATGTTATTTACAACTTACGCTTTACGATTTATTAATAGGAACACCGTCATGGACTAACAGTGCACACCTCCGTCAAACCACTCCCAAGTTTGTTAACTGCTTTTATTGTATCTAACAATCTACCGTTGTTGTGACAGCGATTACACAGCCTTAAAATAGGTGGCTTATTATATCTTATGGCCGTCCAAATTTAAAACCCTTTTGATACTCAAATGAACCAAACTTGTTAAGTGCTTTGCGTATTTTTGTCCAAAATAGATCTTTTGGTTCTGTTTATTTAAACAACTTTTACATATCGCATTGTTCGTAGAGTTTCGCATCAGTTTACAATTTTATTAGAAAAATCTGATGTTTATAAAATGGATTTTTTGATAAATACGTCATTTTGGTGGCAGTTTCCTGTCTACGACGCATAGAGTTCAAGCACCAAATGACTTTTGAACACTTTAACTGGGAGTTGCTCTCCTTGATGCGTTGATGTACGCTTCTCCATTTCGAGATGTCTTACTTTGTGTGCTGCGTTAAGTTACTTATTTCATCCAGCGCCACTTTAAACAGAATCCTCTCACTGTCATTAAATATCAGTGCAGTGTCACTTGGGCAACAGAAACAAGATTATTGCCGACAGAAATGTGACTGCCATTTTGGCACGTGAGGAATCGTCTTGATCTAACATTGTGAGCAAAAATTTTGCTATTTCATTTTATTTTATAATGGAAGGTAATTTTAATCGATTTAACCAGTAGTTTGAATTTAATTAATTTTCATGAATACATTTTACTACTGTAGGTTTATTACAATAAATAAAAGTATGCTTGATGGGTTTTCATTTAGCAAAGGAGTTGAGCCAGTAATATTACAGCATGATTGTAATTTTTTTTGCTTAAAACCAGGAATGTAGACGTACCGAGGTCCATTTTGGAGATTGAGAATAATTACTATTTTACCAGTGGAAGATGTTCAACGACCCTGATTTGGAGTTTTAATTCTACAAACGAATTCTTTCAAAGTCGACTGAGCTACACCAGTCAAAAAGTGCCCATTTTCTTTGCACAAGAAGATGCTTTTTACTATTTACCATTTTCGGACCATGCGTCATCTTCTTCAATAATAAGTTATTAAAAAAGATAGGCGAAAATTATTTGGAACAAAAACACCTCGAAAACCCCTATATGCACTTTTTGCTGCAGAGAAATGCGCTGTATAGGAGAGCGATAACATCTTACGCTTTTTCTCGGTGACAGCTAAAGGTCGAAAACGGTCTGTTCCAAAGTCTTTCTAGAAGGGTTGTGCATAATTTTTTAAGGAAAAAAACCACGTTACCGATTTATTATTAATATCCTCATAAACCACTCGCAATAAGAAGTCTACTTCCGGGTATATATGTTCATTCCACTTATTTACCTAAACTTGAGACCTGTTGGCTGAGAA